TTCTCCCTGTCTTCTTCCTTATCTGCTTTTATATGGGGGTCCATGGGGATACTTGGTCAGTTTTAATTGCAAATTGTTTCCCTGACTTTTTGGTTTGCTGTCTCATTGATCTGTCTTTATGTGGAGATTTAGGGATGATAAAAAAATATAACACTTGACTACTGCCATCTTCCCAGAACCCTTCTAACCAAGCCTCTCTTTTTTCAACCACCTGAGGATATGTATTTTTAGAGAGAGAAAAAGAGAGAGAGAAACATTGATATGAGAGATAAACATTGGTGTGAGAAACATTGGTCGGTTGCCCTCTGCAAGCACGCTGACCGGGGACTATGGAAGAGAGAGAGAGAAAGAGGAAGGGATAGGGAGAGAGAGAGATAGAAACATCAATGATGAGAGAGAATCATCAATTGGCTGCTTCCCGCACACCTGGGGATCGAGCCCGCAACCTGGGCATGTGCTCTGACCAGGAATCGAACCATGACCTCCTGATTCATAGATCAACACTCATCCACTGAGCCACGCTGGCTGGGCTAGTTTGTTCAGTTTTGATAAACATATATAATCATGTAACCAATACCACATCATGATATTAAAACTTCCATTACCCCAGTGAGGTCTCTCCTTTCCCCCTTGACTGCCGGGAGCCGGTCCATCCTTGCTGTTTCAAGGGACCTGGCATATATGGCATACTGTTCTTAATATGTTTGCTCACCTTCTTGGCACTATGTGTTTTAACCAAGGTCACCTCTCTGAGAAAGGTTGTTTCCCCAGGTAGGGATTTTCCCCTGAAGTTAGGGAGGGAATAAAACCCCTTAACTAAGTGCCAGGCAGGTAATTAATCACTTTAACTATGAACAATCATGCTTAAGCTACATAATCTTTACTCCCTGGAATGGAGATAAGAAACGCCCTAACCTCTGGAATAGAGATTGATAGGATTGGAATCAACTGGTATAAATACAGATGTAACAAGATAACAGGGAACAGAACCTAGACACAGAACCTAGACACAGAATCTACACAGAACCTAGAGACAGAAGAACTTCGCTGGAGAGAACATGGCAAAAGATCCTGGACAGAAACTGGAGACAGAACCTAGAGACAGAACCTAGCGAGAGAACATGGCAAAAGATCCTGGACAGAAACAGGCCAGAGAACCTAGAGACAGAACCTAGCGAGAGAACATGGCAAAAGATCCTGGACAGAAACTGGCCACAGAACCTAGAGACAGAACCTAGCGAGAGAACCTGGCTGAAGAACCTAGAGACAGAACCTGGCTACAGAACCTGGATAGAACATGGCAAGAGAACCTGACTAGAACCTGGTGACTGAACCTGGCTGGAGAACCTGGACAGAACCTGGCTGGAGAACCTAGCAAGGGAACATGGCTACAGAACCTGGCTGGAGAACCTACAGAACCTGGCAATAGAACCAGGCAAGAGAACCCAACCATGCTGATCAACTGAACGCTGCCTCTGTGTCATTCCTTCTTCGCCGACTCCGTCCACACCTTTGGGGACCCCTGGACCTGCTGGGGTTGGACCCCAGCACTTGACGTCACTCAGTCCTTTCCCCACTCCCCCAACCCCTGGTAACCCCTGATCTGTAACTATCAGTTTGTCTTTACTAGAATTTCATATTAATGGACTCATACAGTATGTAGGCTTTTGTGTCTCATTTCTATCAGCTTAATTCTTTTGAGATTCATCTATGTTGCTCTATTTTATTGCTGAGTAGGATTCCATTTATATGGGTTTATCATGGTTTGTTCACAAGTTGATGGGCATTTGGGTGGTTTGTGTTTCTGGTTGCCATGAACCATTTGTGTTTCAAGTCTTTTATACATTTTCATTTCTCTTGAGTAAGACCTTGGAGTGAAATTGCTGGGTCATATGATAAGTGGATATTTATAAGAAGCTGCATTCTCACCAGCACTGCATATGAGAATTCCGGTTGGTACAATCTCATCAGTACTTGGTATTCTCAGTCTTTAATTTTTGCCACTCTGTTGCATTTGCACTGATACCTTATTTTGTATTTCCCTGGTGATAAAGAAGCTTGGACATCTTTTCACTGCTTATTGACTATTTGTATCTCTTCTTTTATGAACTCTGTTCAGAATTTATGTCCACTTTTAAAATTTAGGGTTTTCTTTTTGTTGAGTTAAGAATTCTTTATATATTCTGGATATCCTTTGTCAGATATATTGCAAATATTTTCTCCCACTTGAAAATCAAAACTTGGTTGAAGCATTGTCCTGTACACCAGAAGGTTGAAGGTTCGATTCTGTGTCAGGGCACATACCTAGGTTGTAGGTTTGATCCCTGGCCAGGGTGGGTATGGGAGGCAACCCATTGATGTTTCTTTCTCTCTCTCTCTCTCTCTCTCTCTCTCTCTCTCTCTCTCTCTCTCTCTCTCTCTCTCCCCCCCCCCCTTTCTGTGTGTGTGTGTGTGTGTGTGTGTGTGTGTGTGTCAAATCAATAAAATCATGTCCTAGCCCAGCCTGCATGGCTCAGTGGTTGAGCATCAACCTATGAACCAGGAGGTCACAGTTCAATTCCTCTTCAGGACATATGCCCAGGTTGCAGGCTCAATCGCCAGTGTGGGGCGAGCAGGAGACAACCAATCAGTGATTCTCTCTCATCATTGATGTTTCTATATCTCTCTCTTCCTCTTCCTTCCACTCTAAAATCAATAAGATTATATTTTAAAAAATCATATCCTTGGTTGAGAATTTTTTAAAAACTTTATTTTCTAGTTGTTTTAGAAATACAGTTGAGCTCTAGCTTGTTTGACTCAGTGGATAGAGTGTCAGCCTGTGGACTGAAGGGTCCCAGGTTTGATTCCCGTCAAGGGCACATGCCTGGGTTGCAAGCTCAGTCCCCAGTAGGGGGCGTGCAGGAGGCAGCTGATCAATGATTCTCTCTCATCATTGATGTTTCTATCTCTCTCTCCCTCTCCCTTCTTCTCTGAAATCAATAAAAATGTATTTAAAAAGAAAGTATTACAGATGTCTCCCTTAAAAAAAACACACAATTGATTTTTTACCCTTACCTTGTATCCTGTGACCATAACAAACTGAGTTAGTTGTGTGCATAGGTACTGGGGAGAGTGGAATCAAAACAGGTCGAGAAGGGACCCTCCCGGGGTGCCCAGACTGGGGGGGCGGGGGCAGTCCTGGCATGTGGGACTTTCAGTGCTGAAAACAGGATAGTATGAGATAGATCAGGACAAGTTGATAACCCTACCCTGTCTGCAGGCCTCATGCTCTCCTTCTGTTGAGAGCGTCCAGTTCACAAGCTGCTTTTTGCTGCCTCCTTTCTGCCAGCCTGTGTCTTTGGATGTGCTAGTGACCTACGGCGGGGACTGCTGCAGCTGAGGCCAGCACGGCCTGGACTTTGTTTACCCCGTGTGTGCTGAGGCCCCTCTCCTTGACATAAAGCCTTCTTATTTGGGAAGTATGGGAGGAAGAAACTCTCCTCTTTATTCCTATCACTCTAAAACAATTTATTGTTTATTTTTTCTTTGTACATCTTTGTACAAAGTATATTTTTTCTTTGTACATCTTTTAAAAAATTTTTGTTATTGGTGTATGTATTGTGCCCTGCCCATTTCTCGTAACATTGTAGTGAGCTTTTCTCATCCTCCGTACTGCCTCATGTTCACTGACTGCTGTCACCAAGTGGGCTGCTGAATGGAATGCCAGGCTGATGGGGCCTCTAAACCATAGGGGAGAAGACTCCCTGGGAAAGGATCGTTGCCAAGCAGGAAGGGATACTGAACTCCTGCCTGAGGTGGGGCAGGCTTGAGTAAGCACTAAGGGTTTACTGAGGCAGCTTTCTGCACGGGGGTGCTGGAGAATGGCTGGCTTGGGAACTGTGACTGACATGTTACCGGTCCTCTTTCTGCTGACATTCTAGTGGGGGTGGTCCACAGTGGACAGGTGAGTAAGAAAGATGTGCTGTGAAGAGGATGAAATGTAGGTATGCTGCTGTAAGGGTGCCAGGGGACAAGGGGCCCTTTGAAAATTATAGGCAGGGAGGGACTCTCTGAAGAGAGTCAACTGCATTAAGGGTCAGATAAGAAGGATCCAGCCATGGGGAAGACCTGGGGAAGAATATTCCAGGCAGAGGAACCAGCATGTACAAAGCCCCCGAGGTAGGAGGTAATGTGGATTGTCTGTGGACAGCACGACTCACTGGCAGTGAGAGTGGGAGAGGGGCAGGCAGTGAGGTTGGAGGGGCCGTAGAGGGGACCCCAGGCTGTCAGCTTGGTGAGGTCCGACACGCTTTTCAGTCACAAGGGGTGACCTCGCCCCTACCTTGCCTGCCCGCCTCTGAGTCAGCACTACCCTTTCCACCATTCCACCAAGTCACCAGTTCTCACTCCTGGGCAGCCAGGGCTCCTGCCTCAATGCACACTGTGTGCTCCTCTGTCTGGAATGCCTTCTCCACGCTCTTGCTGCTGCATACGCACGCCAGCACTCCCCTCACACACCAGTGACCCTGCATACACTTGCCTGTGAAGAGTTGTCTTCCTCAGCGCGCTCTGGCTGTGGCATATCTGTCCATCTGAGAGTTGCTGAGGGTCCCTGCCGCACGTGGCTTCATCTGTTTGCCCAGTGCCTCACGCACAGTAGGCGCTTACTAAAATACCGCTTGTTACAGGAGCAAAGATCAGAAAGGGCTCAAGAGAAAGGGGTGCTATTTTAAGAAGAGTTTTATAAAGTGCAGTTAAAAAGTAAATAAAGGGACACTTATGACTAATAATGCAATTTTAAAATAATGAGATTTACAAAAAAAAAATCCGGTAGATTTAAAGTGAAGCTAATTATTTGAGGGTAATGTTTTTGTTGTGTTTTGTTTGCTTGTTGGCTAGTTTTCCAGTGTATTCTTTTATTTCTGTTCATGTGCTTTGGGTTCTCAGGTCAGGTGCTGATCTTTGCAGACAGGGTCCTGGGTTTAGCTTAATTTTATTTCCTGGCTGTGTTTATGTTTCAGATAATACCCTTTTACATTTTGAATGCAACAAATTACTTTGGTCGTATAGTTGATAAACATGTGGATCTTTATGCAACTCTTAATGCTGAAATGAAGCAGTATTTTGAGGATTCCAGTAATAAAACAACCATTGAAAAGGTGGAGAAATTTGGATTATACGGATTAGCAGAGAAAACACTTTTTCACAGGTAGAATGTCTGTTATTTCATCTTGAAAAGGTATGAAGCATGAGGTAACTTTAACTGCTCTTGAACCCCCATTTTCATTTCTGTCCGTTCGGCCCACTGTTCACGTGCTAGGCCTGCTGACTCCCAGGATGGTGGTGGCAGGGTCATGGCCTCCAGACCCTGGGCACAGTTCTACACCTGGGACTCATCTGGCCCCAGGCTCTTGAGCACAGAGCCTGGATGACTGTAGCGTTTATATACCGACAGTTATGGAGCCATCATTGTGTGCCAAGTACACGTACATCTTTAACGCAGTTTTCACAAAGGATGTGGCATTATTCCCATTTTACAGATCAGCATACTGAGCCTTGGCGAGGCTGTGTAATTCGTGTGAGGTCAGCTCAGTAAGTGGCACAGTGTTCCAACCCGGGCAGTCTGACTCACATCCCTGTTGGCACCCACATCCTTCGAATGCCACACCCTACTCCACTTGGTGATAACCTAGATTGAGAAACTTAAAACTTTTAATTTGCTACGTTAATTTTTAATGTGTTGTTAAATAAGGGATTTACTCTATTTATACTTAGGTATGCTTTAAATAAACCATTGCTAAGTGCTCTTGGCAGCTCTAGGTTTTTTATTCCTAGTATGGAGTAAAACCATGCAGCTCGGGGGTCTGACTATATGTTCAGCACTTATGGGTAAGTGGAGGCAAAGGTTATTTCCATTTTAGAATCTCTGTGTTAAACTGATGCCACTGTTGTTCTTCAGAGTTCAGGTGTTGGAGGTGAGCCAAAAAGCAGACACGTCGGCCCTCGATACTGTCCTTGTGAAGTTTATAGATGAAGGCAGGACTGGACCCATCCCCAGAGATCAGCTGCTGCATCTCCCAGAAAACTTCCAGGCTCTGCCCCCCCAAGCCATGGAGTTCATTGTTTGTAGAGTGAAACCTGCCGACAATGAAATTGAATGGAATCCAAAAGTGAGAGTTATTTCGGCTTTTTATAGTTTGCTGACTTTTAGAATATACTTAACACAGAATGTACACAGAATCGAGGTTTATTTGAATCACAGTTTTGAGGTTGGGTAAATGCTTCCTGTTCCTGAGCAGAGAAAGCACAGTCTGCGTGGTCCCTGCAGGTGTGGGCTGTGCTGACGGCCAGCCTGCAGAGACCCAGCTCTGAACAGGCACCCTGTTTGCCGGGGGCGGGTTGCCATCATTATCCTCAGCACTCACAGACTTAGAATTGGTGGGAAATGTGTGTCATGATAAAGTACATTGGCTATCAGCTTAAGGAGAAGAAACAGGGTAAGAACCTGCAAAATGGATACCCTTGTCAGAGGGGGCACAGGTGATGGCCACTTCCTGGAGTGACCAGGTAATTCGTTAGGGTTGGGAGGATGGACAAGGAAAGAGAGAGTTCAGCAAAGCTCTCAAAGGAAGGAACATTTGTGTGGGCCCTTTGGGAGGAGCACTAGGATGTCACCAAGTAGACCGGATGAGGCAGTGAGGCCAAGAAAACAGCATGGGCCAGGACAAGGGGCAGGGAAGAGTGGTCCCGGGTGGGCTCCCGCGGCCTCCCACCACCGGCTGCAGAGGCTCTCGCGCCTGGGAGAGGTTGCCAGACAGTCATCCCCAGAGCAGTGAGTCCTGTTCATAACTTCCCCTGGTTCTTCAGAGGAAGTTAAGTTTTGTATCCTCTGATTAGTAGGATATGAAATAAGCCATTGCAGTTGGCAAAGTAAAAACAGTTTGGGTTAAAAACAAAGTTACATGTTATCCAGGAGATACATAGGTGAATGCTTCCACCATACAGGGTGAACACACAGCCTTCCTTAGAGAGTTTAGTAAAATAGACTGTTATTTATTAAATAGCAGTCTTTTCCTTCGTGGAAAGTATTTGCTGATTGTCCACTGTGTGCTGGAGCCACATGTATTCTGGGGTGTGTAGCCATTAGCGAGAAAGTCATGGCAAACATTTGGTCTGTCAAGATGATCCACCACAAGTATTTCTTGAAGAGGAGCCTTCTCTAGAAATGGGGGCGACGTTCTCCTGTGCATGTCCTTTCAGACAATTACAAAGTTCAGTGGAGGTGGAAATAATCCAGTCACCACGAGCCAGCTCCCTCCCCGTCTGCTTTACTGGAGTCAACATGCGCCTGACAGGTGCTCAGACAGGTCTCATCTGCTGGGCCTCTCAGGTCCTGGTGCCGAGCAGCTCCGCGTGTGCCTGCCTCCCCTGCACCTGCAGGAACGCCTACTGCACTCTCACTGAGCTTTCCAGGAAATAAACATCCATACCTTAACGACAGGTTGATGGTTAACAGAGGAGGTGGGGACACATGTCCACGGTAGGAAGCACGCAGTATTAGGAGTCCAGAGGCGTGGACCTGTGAACTCAGCTTTAGCATCTGCCCTTTTGTTGTTGTTAATCTCACCTGAGGATATTTTTCCATTGATTTTTCAGAGAAAGTGGAAGGGAGTGAGGGAGGAGAAGAGGGGAGGGAGGGGAGAGAAAGAGAGACAGAGAGAGAGAGAGAGAGAGAGAGAGAGAGAGAGAGAGAGAGAGAGAGAGAGAGAAATATCGATGTGACAGAGACACATTGGTTGGCTGCCTCCTGCACACACCCCAACCAGGGCCAGGATCGAGCCTGCAACCCAAGTACATGCCCGTGATCAGGAATTGCAGGCCAACTATCCTCTAAGCCACACCCGCCAGGGCTCACACCTGCCGGTATTCAGCTCCACTGTTAGTCACTCTAGTCGATGAAAGGGACACACTGGCCTCCATAACCTACTCCTGGGATGGCTGTGAGCTCTAATGAAATGCATGGGAGTTTGTTGCAGAACCACATGGCATATACAGAACGAGGTCTTAAAGCTTCACATAAACCACTTCAGTGTGTTTTTCAGGTTACGAGGTACATTCATCATAAAGTTACTGGAAAATTGCATGATGCAAAAGTGGTATTTGCTTTAGGAAATACAGTTTGGATTGATCCAATGGTGAGTACGCGGTTTCCTTAAAAACAAACGTGTTTGAATGGGCTCTGAAATAGTCCACGTTATCCTAACCTGTTGCTTTGAGTAACTTTTGTCTCACATGAATGGAGGCTTATTTAGGACTCTGAATTAGGAGGAGTTTTTTTCATGTTATTTGGGTAATAATTTGATTGTGGAGTTTTTGTTTAAAGGAATCTTTTGCATTGTCTCCCAGTGCTAACAGGCATGTGTGTGAACACACACACACACACTCACACACACACACTCACACTCACACACACACTCACACACACACACTCACACACACTCACACTCACACACACACACACATACACACACACACACACAACTGAGACAAGCTTCATGAAACTGTCCTTACTATGTGACAGTCTCTAATGTTTACAGTTCTGCGTATTCCACTTTTTAAAAAAATATATTTTATTGATTTTCTACAGAGAGGAAGGGAGAGGGATAGAGAATTAGAAACATCGATGAGAGAGAAACAACGATCAGCCGCCTCCTGCACACCCCCCACTGGGGATGTGCCTGCAACCAAGGTACATGCCCTTAACTGGAATCAAACCTGGGACCTTTGAGTCCGCAAGCCGACGCTCTATCCACTGAGCCAAACTGGTCAGGGCCTATTCCACTTTTTTAAGTGTTGGTTGTGCACTGTTAGGTCGGTTTCACGGTCCTCTGTCCACACAGGTGGGGAGGCCTGGGTCAGTGACTGCCCTCCGTCTAGTTGTAAATGAGCTTAAAGTCCCGACCCGTGATTGGTAGTGCGGGGAGTTCCAGTCCGTGGGCTTTCAAAAATAGGTTTTATTATGTTCATAGTTTCTATCTCATTCATTCACTAAATATTGATAGAGTACCTACTGTGTGCTAGGTAGGACCTGTATGGGACACTTGAGTTTCATTTGTGAACAGAGACTCCTGTGCTGTGAGCTGATGTGGGGAGGGTGGTGACCGTGGGATGAGGCCATGTAAACAGGGTCTCAGTGCATCCCCTCTGAAGCGGGCATCATCTCCTCTCCCTGGCCCCAGGAGCTCTACTTTTCAAGTCAAAGTTTTCTCTATTACTGATTATTGATAAAATTTAAAGGAATTCATTTTTTAAAAATATATTTTATTGATTTTTTTACAGAGAAGAAGGGAGAGGGATAGAGAGTTAGAAACATCGATCAGCTGCCTCCTGCACACCCCCTACTGGGGATGTGCCGCAACCAAGGTACATGCCCTTGATGGGAATCGAACCTTGGACCCTTGAGTCCACAGGCCAACACTCTACCCATTGAGCCAAACCAGTTAGGGCTAAAGGAATTAATTTTGTAAAAACTTCTGCTGGAGGTTATTTTTGTAAGATTGGAAATGCCTTAAAACTTTAAAAGGAATTTGGATTGGGTATGAGATTTAAGAGTAAGAGGATAAATGATTTTTAGAAGTGAAGGTAGAGATTACTAGTTGATACTGTAATAGTCAATATTGTGGTTCTTTATTGGAGAAAAATGGAAACTTCATCAAGCAGCAATTTTTAAAGCTATAGCTAAGAGAATAAAACAAAAAAGAAGAACCCCTTCCCCACCTTTGGCAAATATGCTTAGGCAGCTCTAAAGTGTAGCAGTGGCCGGGGCACGCTGGGGGAGACAGACCACGCCTGCTGCCTTCTCCACTCGACCAGCTGGCTCTCCACTGTGGGAGAGGAACACCAGTCCCAGATGGGACACACCACACCCCCAGGGTCGCTAGGAAGGTGCCTCAGGCAGTGCCAGCACGCCATGAAAGGGATGCCCAGTCCTGGTGTGCATCTCCGACCAACAGGAATCATCTAATTTTGTGTCAATTGAAATGGGTGAGAATGTTTTGGTTGCAGAAGAGATAGTGGAGGAAACTGTCCAGAACACAGGACTCGGGGCTTTGGCGGAGAGCCTTTCTGGGCACCTGGAGACCAGGGTCTTCCTTGTGGAGAGAGGTCAAAGTACCGGAGCAAAAACAGAAAATCCTAGGACTGTTGTGGGTGGTTACAGCATCACAGATTGGTCTCGTCTGGGCTTCCATGCCAGGACCGGTCTTGCCCTGACCCAGAGCTGGTGGTGTTTGTGCGGTGTGGGACTGGGCTCTGGAAGATTCCCGTGGGACTCAGTTATGAAATGATCGGCTGTGAGCTCTCTGTGCCTGTCCCTCCAGAGGGCAGGCTCTCTCTGCCTGTCCCTTGACTCAGAGGGCAGACAACACACCCAGCCCAAGCTTTTAATCTATTTTATGTCTGTCTTTCATTATTCTTTAATCCTGAAAGCGCCTCCTAGCTTACTCGAACCGGTTCAAGTCTCCCCCTCCGTGCAGCACGCAGAGAGGAGACCCACAGCCCCAGCATTCCCGCCATACAAGTTATTAAATCTCTTTTTGCCTCAGTTTTCTTATCTATGAAATGGAGCTAAAAATACGAAGATAATTGTGAATGCCCAAATTAAAATGAAATACATGACAATATAAAAAAAAAAAAGAAATGATAGCTGTGAGTGGAGGCCCTTGCACACGGAGGCATGTGCCCCAGGGCATCACTCCTTACAGAGCTGGATCGAGAGGCCGCGTGCGCGTGCTTGTGATTCATTTAAAGTTCAAAGTTTGATTCTGCAAATGTATTTTTTTCTTTGATTCAAGGTGCACGTTACAAAACTTTTAAATTTGAAAACTTCTGTCATTGATTACAATGTTCGAGCTGAAATTTTGTCAATGGGAATGGGCATTGATAATCCAGAACATATAGAACAACTGAAAAAATTGTACGAAGGAGCTAAAATACACACTGTTGAAGAAAGCCGAAGCCAAACACTGTAAGTGGATTTTTGTCTCTCTTTTGGGAGAGCTGTTTTGTGGAAATCTAACTTACAAGCGTTACAGACATTTTTTGAAAGTAGACAGTTTAATGAGTTTCCCTGTTTTTTTTTTTTGTTTAAATATATTTTATTGATTTTTTAGAGAGGAAGGGAGAGAGATAGAGAGCCAGAAACATCGATGAGAGAGAAACATCGATCAGCTGCCTCCTGCACATGTCCCACCAGGGATGTGCCCGCAACCCAAGTACATGCCCTTGACCGGAATCGAACCCGGGACCTTTCAGTCCGCAGGCCGACGCTCTATCCACCGAGCCAAACCGGTCTCGGCGAGTTTCCCTGTTTTTATCACTCAGCTTCAGTAGTTACTTTTGGGAATCTTGTTTTAACCAGACCTCAGCCTTCACTTTTGTTTTTGTGGAGTGATAAAACGGATCCCAGATGTATTATTTCACTGTGTGCCTCTTATGGAATGAGTTTTTATTAGCTGTTTACTGACAGCACAGACAGAAAAGTGCACGTGTTGTAAATGTCGTTTGGTAGGTTTTCTGAGCAAGAAACCATCCCCAGATCAGAAACAGGACGTGACTCAGACCAGCTCCTCCCAGGGCAGCACTGGGTTTGTCCTCTGAGCGGAAGCATGCAGTGTGTCTCTCTTAAGTCTAACTCTTTAGCACAACATTATTTGTGAAACTCATTCATGTTGTGCATGTAGCTGTCGGCCTGACATTCCCATTGCTGAATTATATCCCATTGTGTGAATGTACCATAATTACCCATTCTACTGTTGATGGGAGACACGTCCAGTGCTGGGCTACGTCGGGTGGTACTTTAACCATTCTCCTGCCTGTGTTTTGGTGCACTTATGAATGTATTTCTGATAGAATAGAATTGCTGAGTCAAGCTAGAGCTACTGCCCCACAGTTTCCACATTGGTTGCACCAGTCTGTACTTCTCCCAGCAGTGTGAGGGACTCGCAACGCCCAAAGCGGGAGGATGATAGTGTGTGTTGCCAAAGGACTCAAATCAAGAACTCCTTCCAACCAGATGAAAATTGCAGACACCTGTAGAAAACTGAGCAAAAAACTTGAAACTTCACAGTGTCCAGATAATTAATTGTCTAATGACTAATACATGAAAAGATTCTTTTTTTAAAAATATATTTTATTGATTTTTTACAGAGAGGAAGGGAGAGGGATAGAGAGTTAGAAACATCGATGAGAGAGAAACATCGATCAGCTGCCTCCTGCACAACTCCTACTGGGGATGTGCCCGCAACCAAGGTACATGCCCTTGACTGGAATCGAACCCGAGACCCTTTAGTCCGCAGGCCGACACTCTATCCACTGAGCCAAACCGGTCAGGGCGAAAAGATTCTTAAACTCATTAGCCATCAGGGAAATGCAGATTAAAAATACAGTGCAGTCATACCACTACATATTCTCCAGAAATGAAAGAAAATACCGTGTTGGCAAGGATGTGGAACAAAAGGCTTTTAAAAACTTGACTGGTGTGCTATTATTACATCTAACAAAATTATTAGTAAATATTCCATTGTATGGATAGACCACCCTTTGTGTATCTATTAATGTTCGTGGACGAATGGCTGTATGAATCGTGCTGCTGAGAACATGCTTAGGGATATCTGTTCACACCCCTGCTTTCGGTTCTTGGGAATATTCCCAGAAGTGGACTTGCTGGATCATGGGGTAATTCTGTGTTTGATTTTTTGAACTGCCAGTGTTTTCCACGGCAGCTGCACCACTTTACATTCCCACTAGCAGTGCACGAAAATTCCCACTTTCTCCACAGCCTCGCCTAGAAATCAGCCTGAGGTCACGTTCAAGGTCGTCTCAGGACTTTTCTGAGCATGCGTCTTGCCTCAGCACGTGTGTGGCTTTCTGCACCCTTCCCTGACCCCCACAATGTGCTGCTGCTAAATGTCCTAGTTTCCCAGTGAGTCTCACCCAGTTTCTCCTCTGGGCCTTCAGTGGTCTGTTATGGGTTTCCATGCCTAGTCCCTGCCCCGGGCATCTGTGGTGTCAGCTTTTCCAACCTGCCCACTGCTTTCCTGCCTGTGTGCCAAGATGTGTGAAACAAACAGGCATAGTGCCTGAGTCCCTCGGTGTCTCCCCAGACACCTCAGCATGGCCTGCAGAGAGTTTGCAAGGGGCCCTGCTCTGCGCCCTCTGGTTTGAGGGGGAACAGGAATAAGCTGCTGCCACAAGCCCGCCAGGCCCTGGGTGTGGGGCAGAGACAAGTGGACACCACAGAGCCTGCCTCCCTTTTCGAAGCTGGCTGCTTCCTGACTGGGCTTTGTTGGCTGCTGTAAACCGTTCACTTTCCAGAGCTCCTGCACAGTCGGTTCAGGCAGCTTCCGGTGGTCCTCACAGTGTTCCTACCAAATGCACACTGCATTTGTGCTAGTGGAGGAGAATTGCACACCTGCGGCCGTGAACACAGGTAGAGAGAGGTGTAGAGGGCCGCGAGTCTGCAGAAGCCCCCCTGGGAAAGCGCAGTTACAGGAGCTGGGTAGGGATACTGTGGTAGTAACGTGGTCAGAGCCAGGAGAATGCTCCATTCCTACAGCAGATTGAGAAAGAGGATGGACTCGGGCCTGGAGATGGGGAGGCCGTAGGGCTTAGTGATCAACAGGCAGGGGAGCGAGACTCTGACCCTGAGCCCGGGGACTGAGGACAGTGGCAGGTTGGTGGCTACAGGACGTTTTCCAGGGGCAGCTGGCCCGTTGGAGAGGAGGAGACACCGCGTTGCTTTTGGACCTGTTCCGTGTCACGAGGTTGAAAGTATGAGACTAGAACGCAGGAAGCCCTGGGGAAGGCTCTGGGCTCCAGGGTGGAGGAGAGTTGAAACTTGGTGAGTGTGTGAGGAGGAAGGGACACCCCACAGCTGAGGGTCTAATGAAGGAGGTAGAGCTGTGGTTGAGGAAGAGGGTGAGCGATGCAGGGCCGGTGCTGCACCCCTGAGAGCGGGCGAGGCCTGAGGAGGGTCCCGGTGGGTGGACATGGGCACTGCTCTCCGCTGTTTGGGCAGTGCCCTGCCGCAGGCTTCATGCATGTCAGTCAAGTCCCCTGGAGACACACGCACATCCCTACCCCAAAGGTGGGCGTGTGTACACGGGTATACACAGGTGTACACGTGGTGCGTAGGTTTGCTCCTTTAGCCTTGACTTCTCAAAGGATGCACACAAAATGCATTTCGTAGTCGCCACGAGGAGGGAGTTTGAGTGGCTGGGCAATAGGGTGGAGAGTCACTGTGTAGACTTTTTTATTTATTAAACCACATGAATGTGGTTACCTGCTCAAAAAACCAAAAGAGAAACACAATTTAAAAAACTTGAGAGAAAGTGGGCCGCCCTCTAATCTCTGGTTTTATTAAGTACAATAAAGTAAGGGGCAGGAAAGTGAATTCAGTAGGTTTCCTCTGTTTAAACCCACCCATGTGTGTATGTGTGAGAGAGAGAGAGATAGAAAGATCAGATACTTGCTTTTATATGCAAAGACTTTCTAGAAGCAGACCCAAGCTTGTCAGAGGAGCTGAGGGATGGGGTGGGGGTGGGGAGAGATGGCTTTTACTCTGCCCTTTTATCCTCCTTAAAGTGGGGGGCAGTATGTTATTCTCCAGTTGAATGACTGGACAAGGAACTTACTTCGGCAAATGAGTTGCTGTATTTACCTGATAATATGTATCAGTCATCTGCTCTGTGCTTGATGCCAGGCCCACAGAGTGAGCAGAGCTGGCTGCCCTGGGGCGTCCGTAAAGGGTAAAGGAGCCGTAAGCTCAGCATGCGTGTGGCTCGCGGGAGTGGGCACAGCATGGCCATTGGTCGCCTGCCTGCCCTCTGGCTGGGAAGTCCCTGCAGGGCCAGGTTTCGCCTGTCTCCTCGGGTTAACGTCGCCTGTTCTGTCCAGGGAGCCGTCGTCTACAGAAGAGGCCGCCTGTCTGCAGAGCACACGGCCGGAGGACGGGGCTTCGGAAGGAGGTGCCGACTGCGGAACGAACTCAGGAAACCGGAAGCATGGTTGGTTCCTTAAAGGGTGGTTAATACAACCGCTCTGAGAGGTGTTCCGCTGTGCAGGCTCTCCACTTCAGATGGGTTAGAGAGGGGATTGCCCAGCTTCCTAGTTTTGACAATTTGGCTTCCAGTAGTTTTTTTGGTAACTTTTTCACTTTTTATTGTTTGAGGTATAATGTTCATTCAGTAAAGTGCACACCGCTCATGAGATATTTTTACACAAGAACGTGTCCAGAACCCCGACGTCTCCCTTAGACACTTCCCTGTCTGGAGCCTTACCCAGTAACCACTGTTCTGACTTCTGTCGCCATCAGTTTTGCTGAAGCACATAGTATACACTCTTGTGGCTTCTTCATTCAGCGTATGTCTGCGAAATTCATCTAGATAAGTGTGCAGCAGTGCATTTTTTATTGCTGAGATTTTTCTCTGCTGTGAATATACCACAGTTTATCAGTTCACCTATTGATGGATGATGTTTTTTTTTAATAATTCTTTATTGTTGGAAGTATTACATATGTCCCCCTTTTTCCCCCGTTGACTCCCTCCAGCCCCCCCCTGCTCCCCCCCCCCAGGCCCTCACTGCCCCATTGCCTGTGTTGTTTTCAGTTTTTTATTATTGTTATTCAAGCTGCTATGGACAGTCTTTGGATGGAAGCTTCAAATAATTTAGATGGAGAAGTTTCGTAGCTTTGTTTTAGAAAGTGTTATGCTTAGTATTGTTCCGTGAGTGTCCTGCCTACTGCTGTGGAAGTCACCTTAGCGGGTCCGAGCAGGTGAAGACAGCGGAGGAGCCTGAACACGTGTGTCCTGCAGCCACCGACTGTAATGTGGGTGCTTTTCAGAGAGTAACCTTAGTTTCCCAGTTGTTTAATTGTACTATTTGTCAAAGCCTGTTTTCATTAGTTTTACTAAGTGCTGTGCATTTTAGTTTTTCCTAATTATTCCTTGCAAGTGTACACTTAGGTTACTGTGGAACTTAGGCTCTTAGGGAGCTCTTCCTCGGCTAAACGTTGCATAAAATGCAGAATAAGTGCATATGCGTTTACATGATGGCGTTGCATATAAGTAACCTGTGGGGAAATGTGACCTTTTGTACAGAAGCTTCACCTGGAAACACTGGAGATGCTTCCGTGAACAGAACTACGGAGCCCCTGCAAAGGTATGGCCGCCCCGCCCGAGGTCCGCTCTCCGTCCTCACCTGGCAAGTGGTGGTGAGATAGATGTCAGCCCTTTTCTTTCCCTCCAGCTTCCACCCACCAATAAAATGGTTCCAAAAAGACGATGTGGTCATATTGAAGATAAGAATAAGGAATGTAAAAGATTACAAGTGCAAATATTTTAGAGATAGAGTCATTTTCAGGTAGGTCTATGTAAATCTTATAAAGTAAAATAGAAATAATCCTCAACATTTTAAAAAACTGACTCTTTTCTTTTTGTAAACCTAGCGCCTGGGTAGGAGAAAAATTTTACTTGGCTGATTTGGAGTTGCAGGCCAACATAATAAAGGACGATTGCAAATGCATAATTAAAAATGAGGAACCTATAATCACTCTTGCAAAAGAGAGAAGGGAATCTTGGTGTAGCTTACTCAGACAGAAGGTGAGTTGAAATGAACTGGCTGGTCTTAACAGCCTGAGCGTGTTTTATTTTCTCACTTAATGTGAACTGTTTTATTGTACAGAATCCTAATGTGGCTTTCGATTTTGATCACTGGGAAGAATGTGAAGAGGAGAGCCATTTCTCCAAGGGTAAGAGGGGATGTCCCCGTCCCTAGAGAGAGGGTAGGTCCTGAGTGCCATGGGGTGGACATAGTCACCCAGCTGATCTTGGGAAAGTGTGGCCTTCGGGGAAGTGGGTGATTCCTGTAAAGCCCTTAGGAATCAGTTTTCTTCCTGTGGTTGATCTTGATGCTACATGTTCCAGCTTGAGGAGCTATCCATTCTTGGTTATAAACATACCTTTATTATGATGATGATGATTAAATATATTTTTATTGATTTCAAGAAGGAAGGGAGAGGAAGAGAGAAATAGAAACATCAATGATGAGAGGGAATCATTGATTGGCTGCCTCCTGCATGTTGGACCAAGCCCGCAACCCAAGCATGTGCCCTTGACCAGAATCGAACCTGGGGCCCTTCCGTCCGCAGGCCGACGCTCTATCCACTGAGCCAAACCGGCTAGGGCAACATACCTTCTTATAACACTTTTACAGGTAGTTTTCCTAGGAGAAAATTTTATTTATAAGCAAGCGATTTTTACCTGCTCATTTCCTGCCTAAAATAATGAAATTATAAAATAAGTTGTATAATAGATAGAGGTAGAGCCCAAGAGACTTTTTCTACATTGACCAAAATAATGGGAGGGGAAAAGATTTGCCAATTAGTTAACATATGTTTTGAACTAATATCTGACTCTTTTAGTTGTAACATCTAGAAACCTGTCCTGCAAAGTGGCAGAGGTGATGGAGAGCAGTGACCAGACTTCGGAGGATGAGGAGACCGAGAGCGACTGAGCGTGTGGGCCGGATCCTGAGGCGGACAGGGGGTCGCCGCGTGACTGGACGCTAGAGAACAGCAGTCACGTTCACACCTTTTTATTACGAGGGGTCATCTGGTGGCACCGGGATTGGTAATGGTGAGAAATTCTGAATCTATTTAAAAATGGGCTGAGGCCTGGTCCTGGTAGCTCAGTTGGTTAGAGCGTCGCCCCTATATGCCAAGGTTGTGGGTTCGATCCCCAGTCAGGGCACATACAAGAGTCAACCAATGAATGCATAAATAAGTGGAACAACAAATCGATGTTTCTCTCTCAAGTTAATAAAAAAATAAAAATGTTAAAAAAGGGCTGAAGAGGAGACTGTGAAGGAGGGTGGAAACGGAGACAAGAAGTGCTGGTCTAACAGCCCGGCTTCCCGCTGACCTGCTCATTGCGTCATTGCGTCATGCGAAGCCCATCTGACATACCCCAGTTGAATGACAAAGAGCGCCCGGCTTTCGGATAATGAACTGTACTATCTGGAGCTCGTCTATTTGTATTTTTCATTTAAAACTACGTTTGGCGCATTCCTAAAAACATCTTGTGCATATAAGTTGAAGTTTCTGTCTCATAAATCCATACTTGGCAGTGCTTAACAGCGCCTTTCGGCCATGAGTTAGTTGGGATTCAAACTTGTAGTAACACCTCTGGTGTCCTTAAGATATTGATCGCTACTCCGGGCAAGTTTACTTCGTATAAAGTTATTTCAAGGATAAAAATGGGGTGGCCTGAGTCATACCAGCCAGACCCAAGGCTCTCTGGAGGTAAGCTACTGCTTCTGCAGGACCCTCTGAACCTGCAGAGTCCTGGGCCAGTGAGGCAAAGGTTCCCCTTCAGTGGAAACGGAAAAGGACCTGTGGGGTGCCTGCAGGTAATCCTCAGGACACCTGGGTGTGATGACGCCTAACAACATTCATGACCCCGTTCTGGGGCTGTGGCACCAGGTTCACAAGACAGTTGGGAGGAGTGTGTACTGTCACTACCCCTTAAATGTGGCGCCCAGAGCCTGACTGTTCATGTGAATTGGAAAAGGTAGAAAGAGCCACTGGGAAATGTAAGCGCTGTGCACATCTTCATTCAGCGTGAGGGCAGCCGCGCCCAGAGGTGGAGAAGCGGCTCTAGAACACAGCTGTGCGACTTGCCCCAAGGTCTTTGTTCTTTTTCACACCAGAAAGCACAGATGCTCAGGTGCGTGGGTCTCCCAGGTAGAAGCACTGTGTGAAAGAGGTAAACTGTCGCCAGGCTGTCCCGTGGGCAGGTTTGGGTCACACTGGCTCAGTTTCCTCATCTGTAAAACAAGGCCTGTTTACCACGCTGCCCCTCCTCAGGAGGTGCCCAGAGCACTGCTGCTGCTCAGGGCCTCTGCTGTGGGAGGCGGCTCTGAGCAGGAGGTCAGACCACCGCCCTGGCAGGAGGACACGGTGCGCAGCCTGGACTGCGGCTGGAGCACATCCCTGCTGCTGCCCTGGCTCCCACAGCTAAATCAGGCGGGCTTTTCGGGAAATAGGAAGCTCGGTCTTTGCTGGCAAAGGTTTTGACTGCAGAGCTCTCCTAAGTCCTCATGAGGTGTCAGTGTCTGTAGGCACAGCCTTCGCTCCGGCTGCAGGAGGCCTTGGGGTTGGCGGCCAGCCCAGCCTCCTGAGCTGCACTGGCTTTCCCTGGGCTTGTCAGCCACCTACAGTTTATGCTCAGTGTACTCGGTCTCTTAAACATAGCAAATAGCAAGTCCTAGAGCTGCACAAATGTGTTTCCCATGTACGAATGCTGGGGGGCCCTGCTGTCAAGACGGAATGCTCACTCACTGTGGTTCACAAACAGCTAAATGAAAGTACAGGGGAGGCCCTGGCCGGGTGGCTCTGTTGGTTGGAGTGTCGTCCTATATACCAAAAGGTTGTGGGTTCAATTCCCGGTCAGGGCACATACTTAGCAGATTTGATCCCCATTCGGGGCACTTGCAGGAGGCAGCTAATTGATGGTTCTCTCTCACATCCATGTTTCTCTCTCTCCTTTCCTCTCTGAAATCAATGAGAAAAGGAAACAAAACATGTCCTCTGGTGAGGATTAAAAAAACAATTACAGGGGAAGAGGGCTCTACCTGAAACTAACCCTCATTTCTTTTTCCGGACATTTATATTTACTGTTTGAAGATCTAAATGACGTTTTGCAGGACAGGACACTGACTTGTGAAATGTAGGCAACTACTAATTGTTTTTGTTCTATTAATATGTACTGATTTCATGTTTGGGGAAGATTTCTGAAATCTAAGGTAAAAGTACTTTGTCTTTATGTTTCTAAATTGCTCCCATATTTAGTTGTGTGATCTCTTTTGAAGTATATCAATAAAATTAGTGTTTTCACAGAAATGTTTATTTTTTACACTTTTTAGACAGCATTTTCCCTGAGTGCCAAATGCAAAATAGAACTTTATTCACCACGCTTTCTTGTTTGACCAAAACGCCAGTGACGGCTGTTGGGGAGCTGGGATGCTGACCGCTGGTTGCAGCGCCCTCGGTTCCCGGTGGTCAGCTCTGTAGTGGGGCCGCGACATCCGCCTGGGACAGGCCTGCCATGCACATCCCAGGTTAAATATGGGGGTGGCACTAGTCTTGGGAGGAGAATGGGTAAGTGGTAAACATTTGTACTTCTGTATTTTAAAAATCTGTTTCACACAAAGCAAAAGTTTCACCAATTTTTTGTATACCTTTTGATCACTAAGTTTAAACAATTCTCTTTATTTAAGTAGGTGTGAATATCTAAAAATGCCAGTATTATAGACATTGCAGTACATTTTTTTCTTAAGAAAAACATCAGGAAGAAATAACTGCAGATAATTGCTTACAAAAATAAGTCCATCGCCGCTTGGCCGTGCTGCGGGCGACAGTCTGTTACTCTGGAGCTTCCTCCGCTGGGACAACTTCCATCAGCATCTGAAGGTGCATGGTGACGGGCTCTGGGGTGGGAGTCAAAAAGTGCCGTTAGGAAGCTAACGAAACGAGTTTGCCAGGCTTAGTGGTGAGCAGCACTGCTGTTACTCCGCGGCGAGTCCTGTTAGGCCCGTGCTCCGGGGCCTCACCCACGGTGCTGGGAGGCAGGCAGAACCATCCTGGCAGCTCAGTGGTTCTTAGGGCACAAGTTATTCCCCCTAAAGCATTAGAGACCTGCTAAATATTTTATTGCCACCAAACAATTTGTAGGAAAAATATGAAATGACTCAATTATATGCATATGTTTACCACTGACCAATGGTTGAATATGAGTCTGAAATCACTGAAGACTTCATCTTGTTTAAAACACAGATTGTTCACTCTTTTCACCGGCTTAATTCCAACGTCTTACTGGTTTTTGTAGGGAGCAGCTTGGCTAAATATTCTAAAGCTGAGAAGACATTTTTGGAGGGAGGGAGAAGAGGGTATGGGGGGATAAGTAGTGATAGAAGGAGACTTGATTGACTTGGGGTGGTGACATAGTACAATATACAGATGATGTACTATAGAATTGTACACCCGAAGCCTATATAATTTTATTAATGTCACCCCAATAGAGTCAATAAAAATACAGTATGTGGGGGGAGACATTTTGTACCGTTAGGTTTTAAGTCAACCTGGCTAGATTCTCTGTCAGCACAATCAAATCCGAGTTTATTTTCAAAGGTATGAGGAAAAATAGCTGCTTTTAAACAGTAATAAATTATCTTTCCTTCCTATAGTACTGTGTCTGCAATCCCTCCCTCAGCTTAGGGTTAGGTTCAAGAGGAGGGATGGGGTGAGCTGTTTCAGGAAAGGAAACAAGTCCTTGGTGGAAGTATAGAGCTAGATTTTGTTTTTGGTTTCACTTTGTTAACATGAAACAGATCCCCTCCTGTTTGTGACACGGCTGTCAGGTGAGAGGTGGTACCTGGTTCCTTAGGAGAGGACATGGAGGCTGAGAGGACCTGGGACTTGCCCGAGCTCTAGGCATCCTCGTCCCTGAGAGTCAGCCTAAACCTCACCCGGGAGTTTGCTCTTTCCTACCTTTACCTGCGTGTCGACCTAAGTTCATGTAGGTAAGTAACCACATGGGCATGTCTGACGAGAGGGCTGTACTTCCCTGTTCAGACACGCTGAGGAGAAAGGCAGAGGCAGATTTTTAATCACATTCACTCAATAAATGTTAAGTGGCTGTTGAATAGCTCCAGCCCGAGTCCTGCCTTTAGGAACTCCGGTACAGGGGCAGGGAGTCCAGGAAAACCCATCATGCTCGGGGCCTGGAAGCTTTTATAGCTGGAGTTCCTTGCAGTGGGATGTGCCAAACATGATGAGACCTGGTGAACATCATACACATGGATGTACTGCCGAGTCATCATGATGAACTTTGGCACTACTTTCTTTTTCAAAATGAAAGTAGTTATATAGTTAAAGTTTTAAACAAGTGCCTTAAAATAGACTAGAGGCCCAGTGCATGAAATTTGTGCACCGGTCGGGTCCCTAGGCCTGGCTGGCGATCATGGCCGATCTGTGGGACCACCAGAAGGGTGATTGGGAGACCACCGCTCGCACCCACCTTGGCTGGGCTGGGGGCAGCTCCTGCCTTGTCTTCCCGCCCCTGGTGGTCAGTGCACGTCATAGCGACTGGTCGTTCCACCTGTCGTTCTTCCGTTTGGTTGATTTGCATATTAGGCTTTTATTGTATAGGATAAAGACCCAGGATTGCTGAGGGGCCTTGGCATTGACGGCTCGGGCCCTTGTCTCAGTCTGTCACCTCCTGGGTGTCTCTGGGATGCTACTGAGCCTCCCACATGCTGCCTGTGGTTCTCTGCAGTTGGGTGCCCAACAGTGGGGAAGGGCAGCACCACTGAACTGTGTGCTTAAAATGGTTAAGATGGTAAGGTTTATCTGTATTTCACAATTTTAAAAAATGGTGCCTTCCCTTCTACTTGTTATAGTAATTGATGGAAACAAAGGAGGATGCCACAGGTGGACCCAGAGCTGTCACACTGAGGTTAAGGGGTCGTGTCCTCACAAAGTGGTGGTGAAATTTGCCAGCTGCCTGAGGAGGCCCAGGGCCAGTGTGCTGCCCTAATAGAAGAACTGCCCCTCTGTTGACACTTACTTGAGATTTTCTGAGCCCATCCAAACTTGTAGTGGACAAAAAGGAAGTAAAATACAGTGCCGCTCAGTATAAATAACATGCAGTAGAGGTATTCCCATTCGGGTTTGCTGATGATTGGGGCCAAAACCAAAAACACGGATATGAGAGTCACCAAGATGGGGATGAAAATTGGCACCTGTGGGCAAAACAGCACGTGTCATGATTTGGCCATGCACATTCCTTTTCTTCTGGAAAAAAATTTTTTTAAAAATATATTTTGATATTTTACAGAGAGGAAGGGAGAGAGGTAGAGAGTTAGAAACATTGATCAACTGCCTCCTGCACACCTCCTACTGGGGATGTGCCCACAACCAAGGTACATGCCCTTGACTGGAATCGAACCAGGGACCTTTCAGTCCGCAGGTCGACGCTCTATCCACTGAGCCAAACCAGTTAGGGCAAATATTTTATTCAAAACCAAGACATTGATACAGAAAGAAGAATTAATGAAATCTATGTCCCCCTCCCTCCCCAATTTCAATAATATTTAAGTAATTTTCCCAACTTTATTCTTTTTTTTGTTTGTTTGTTTCACTGGAATATAAAGAGAATGGCAGACTTCCTATCATTTTAACTATAACATTTTCAGTAATCATCTTTAACTGGTAAGGATTTTTTTTTTAATTGATTTCAGAGAGGAAGGGAGAGATAGAAACATCAATGATGAGAGAGAATCATTGATTGGCTGCCTCCTGCAAGCCCCCTACTGGGGACCAAGCCCATAACCAGGCATATGCCCTTGACCGGAACCAAACCCGGGACCCTTCAGTCCGCAGGCTGACACTCTTACCCACTGAACCAAACGGGCTAGGGCAGAGATTTTGTTTTTAACACGTTTATTCCCTTCCTTTTTATTTTATTTTTTTATCTTGTCATGCGTCTGTAGGGATTTATCCTGTACAATGTGTTAATGTGTTAATGCCAGCTTTGCCTGGGAACTTGCTCCTCTTATCCCTCATATTTCCTGTGAACTGGTGGTGGGACCTGGAGGCAGGAACACCTGAGAGGTGGAGCTGGCACTTCCTTTTTATCACATCAGGAGACCCCCAATGTCTGATGGTCCCACTTCTGAACCTCTGACGTCAGTCAGTGGGTTCAGGGGCAGGAGAGGAGCCCAAGTCACCAGATCTGGATTCCTCGGGCCATGCAGGGAGGTGGGAGGGAGCCCAAACAGATTGCAGATGTGACATTTGTGGTTGCGGACACAGGATTGGGTCTGGGGCCAGAATTCTGAAGTCGCCATCAGTCTATGAACTCAGGCTTGAGAGAGACTAGAACTGTCAGAACGGGACGACTTGCCCAGGTTAGGCCACAGGTATTCTTGATAACTTAGTAAACTAGTAATTAGATGGCTAATTGGATCATAAACTAGATGAAACGAAGAGCAAACCGCACTTTAAAATGTGTTATTCCAGAGAAGAGTAGGGTCAGGTTGGAAATGTCATGCCCCTGGAATTTAAAGTAGTTACCTCTCTCTCTCATTCATTTCAAGAAATCGAAGGTACCCGTGACATTTGGGGCATTAAACCTACCTTGATAGGCCTTTCCAGGTCTTTCCTCGTGAACCTCATCACGATCAGCCCCAAAACCGTCAAGCCATAAAACATCCAGGCAGCAAAACTGAAGTAGTTGACTAATGAGTTTATGTCACCAGGGATGATATAAATGGTGGCTATGATACCCTAGTGGAAAGAAGGACA